TGATGAAATTGAGAAAAGATATGCACAAAACAGATGAGTCAAAAAAAAGTGAGGAGATTGTAACAGGCACACTACTCAATCAACAAAGAGAAAATCTGAGCTACCCACTAAATAGTAGATACCTAATAACACAAAAGCTGAATTATGATAAAAGTAAAGTGTCAACATTTAAATCATTCATTTCTTACTCTTTTTAAGCTAATGATAAAAATTTATGATTGTGATATTATTCTCAATAATGTAAAATAGAATACAAATTAATTAAAGGGAGACAGAGGAGATAGATACCCACTTACCCAGTACCAACTGGTCCACCAATGCCAATAGTAAAAGCCCTTTCACTGAAATTCCTGGTGAGAAGAGGTGGAGCTCTTCTGCTGAAGTAGCCAGGGGAGTATATGGGTTCGTGCGAGTGTGGCGCCAGCCCATCATGGCTATGGTACACCTTCCCATCTGGGCCTACCCATGAATTTGTTCCTGAACTCCCATGGCTATGATCATGCTCATGATCATGATGGTGGTGATGTTCATGGCCTTGGTTGTGGTGGTCATGATCATGATGGTGATCAGCCATTGACCCTACAGTCTGCAGAAGTTCTACTCTGGTTCAAGAAGAGCGCAGGAAGAAAGAGGTATCTGGTTGGGTTGATTGGCCATATGCATTATACATTATAAGATAACTGGCAATTAATTTACCAAAACGCCCTTAGTTAATAATTTAAAGGTAAATTCACTATTATATCCAATATATGGGCCTAAATTATAAAAATACCTCATATGAAATGGATTTTAGAAACACACCAAAAACTAATTTACAACATAACAAATAGGCTTTTAACTTCTTATAAATTACAAAATTGTCATCAATTTCTTAAAACAAACCCCAAAATCTCATAAAAATACCCAAAACACTCAATAGGGCATCAAAGTAATTTAATAATCAATATTAAATTCAATAAAGCCAGTTGTCATTTTTTGGGTTTTTTATTATTTGTTTATAGAAATTCAATAGTGTAGGATTTATCTATACTATTAGTGCTAAAAATGGAGATATCACTAAATATCTATAATTTAAATTGTTAAAGAGCACTAACAACATTGTGTTCTTGCCAATAATTTGATCCTTGTTACCTTCACATTGAAAACTCTCTTCTCTCAATATCGCTTGCATCAATAATTTGATCGTTATTATAGTCACATTGAAAAATTATTTGAAGATTACTAAAATTAGAACTAGCCCCTTGGCACATGCTCACGCATGTGCCAATTGGTTTTATTTTTTTTATTTTTTATTTTATTTTTAGAATTAAAAAGATAATTGGTAGTTGAGTTCCATAAAAATATGATCAATTATCTAATTTTTCTTTTAATTTTATTTTTTTTTAATATGAAAAAAGTGTGAATTTACCATATTATCCTCATTTAATTAATAATTTCAATTCTTAATGTTTACATTAACCAATGGTATTTTATGATATTTTGAATGTTTCACCATTCTCTGTCTTTTACTTTATATATATATATATATATATATATTAAATTAAAGTCCAGTATCACGGTTGAAACAATCCTGATAATTTATTTCGTATTGTAATATGTTTACAGACTCTATATATTTGATATTCTCATACAAGCACTATAGATTTATATTATCTGCATAACTTCTCCATTGTCCCATCTAATATTAATGGTCCAAATGTTCACACCATAAAAATAAAAGTTTAATAAGGAGTGCCCTGTCCATCATCCACTTTTTATGCATGCACTCCATCACTGTATCTTCTGTATAAAAAAACCACCCAGTTGCATAGAGGGCATGCATAAAAAAATAAATAAATAGATAAAACAAAATGAGCACTCACAAACAAAGGGAAAAAGAAAGATGGACAGACAGACAGACAGACTAAAGGGTGATTTTTTTTAAAAAGAGAGGAAAAAGAAGCCCATGTTAGTCAAACAAGTTCTTGAGTGCATTGTGTTTGCCACATGGCTGCTGAGGCAGCAGATCCTTTTGGTTTTGCCTTTGAACATTTTCTTGATCTTGAGTGATTGGTTCAAGATTGCCTAAAATCACTCCTTGCTTTTGTATGTACTCTCTTTTGTCTTGGATTAGATAATAGATAGCAATGAAAGACACTTCAGCTGTGAAAAGGAGAGTCCAAAGCCCTGAGCTTCTCTGTGTTCTCTTATGGTAGGCATTTAAACCAGTGTATATGTTGATGATCCCAACCAATGATATTAGGGTTCCAAGCATCCAATGCACCATGTACCAAAAACTTCTCTCTTTCTTTCCCCTACATATCAAAATAAAATTAAACTCTGTTTTAGTCAACCCTCCAATTGTATATTGCTAGCTAGTTGATGAACTATTTGTACCTGTGAGGCCTGAAAAATCCTATCAAGGCTTGCACCCAGATGGCACCATAAAGTGCTAGACCTAATCTTTGGTGGTTGTTGTTGAATGAGTTCTCAAAGTTTCTGAGGGACATGACAGCTCCAGCTGTGGCAAGAAGCACTGAGAGCATCTGTTTATAGATGAAAAATCAGAAGCCATCATCATATACAATAACTGATGGATTAACATGCCTAAATTATTGTGACAGTATTGTAATTATGGGGTATGTATGGTGTAGCGGAGACAAACTGTTATATAAAATAGAAATGATGGCAAGTTTAACTTGCAAACTTAATCAAGGGGGAAGTACGTAAGAAAACTGATTGGTGTTGAGTTGTAGGAGATCAATTCACGAGTTTAAGTACAAAGAGAAACACTTACTATTCTTCATGTTCAAGTAATCATACATGATTATTGGCAAATATGGTTGCATTTGTTTTTCAACTTTAAAATATAATTAAAAGGGTAAAGATATAAGTTAATAAAGAAAACAGACGGTGGACAGCATCATTAAAGTTAAAGTGGGCTATGATGATGATTGAGAACAAAGATTAAACTTGAAAGAGTATTGATCATGTAACTCAGAATTACGGTATTAATTCAGCGGTAATGGAAAATTAGTGTTCTTAGATAATATCCGAAACCGGTCTTAGAATAAAGAAAGAAATAAAGAAGAGCTTGCCTGTAAAATAACATGGAGATAGAAGAGAACTCTGGCCCTTGTCGTCCCACGTTCTTCTCTAACAGACATTCTGATGATAAGAATTCCAACAGGCATTAAGAACCCCATTGAAAACCATGAGAGGAGCCCATGAACTGTGACATTGGATGTCATCTGAGGACTCAACTGCAAAAGGACAACCCGAGTAGCAGAAGAAGAAATTAAGAAGAAGGTGGCCAAAAGAACAAGAAAATATTCATCCAAAAAAGGCTGAAGAGAAACAAAACTAATTTACCTTGTGAGAGTGTTCTTCTGTGCTCTTATCTTCGGGTTGGTTGCCCTCTGCATGATATGAACAGCCAACTAAGGGTAGAAGAAGAACATAACATGTAGAAATAGCCAAAGATGCTAGCTTGAGAGAAGTTTGCATTCTTGTGTTTGTGAGGGTGAAACAAGGCCAAGAGAAGAAGAGAACCAAAGCCTTACTTCGATTTACTCTCTCTACACTGCTAGCTTTCAGTTTCTCATCATTATTTTGTGGCTTTTGGATGGCTTTTGGGATAATTTGGAGAGGGAAAAGGTTACATATATGTGTAGCTTTTCAAGGATTTGCTTTGTAGGAGACAATGTGGTATGATTAATTAGTGACTGCAAAAAAAGAGATTTACCATTGATGCTGTAATAGACATAAGATTGGTGGCATGGGGCACTTACATGGATGGTTGTTAGTGTGAGAGAGAAGATATAGATAAAGAATTAGAAAGAGAGAGAGAGGAAAAACAAAAACAAAAACAAAAGGTGGTCTTGGAGGGTATGATTTGAACGTTAGGTGGATAAAAGTTTCAAAAACTTTCATCAAAGTGAAAGTAGGGTTGACATCGCTGGACTTTCTGGTTTTATTTACAAATTACAAAGAAAAGGGCCAAACTTTCAATCGGTGGAGAGCTTGAAGTACTTCATGGATGCATAATAGGGAAAAGAAATGCAGCTGTTTTATGTGGCAATGTAGCTAACTCAGTTGTAGCTGTTTAGCTTCATATGTATTGTCTGATTTTGCCTCGCTTGTTCCTTTGTGACATTTGGGTTTCGCGTTTAAATGTCTCTCTTAAATTTCTATACACATCCATGGGGGTTGGCTTTGGACAAAGAAAAAAACCAGTGGCAGACGAAAAGGTGATGGTGACAAAAATCACTCGCTAAGTTTCAGATATAAAATCTCATGTTCATACCAATGAAAATGATTACTTCTCGTAAAAGATGGATTTTTGGTTAATAATTCCATGGAGGAGGATAAACAAGTGACAGTTCATAATCATACCATTGCTATTGCTTTTGGGTCGTTTATAAAGAGAACAATAAGGATGGTCAATGTTTGGTAAGCAGTCATGATCAACTTTAAACAATCTGGTTATCGACTTAATCGATTTCGTTATGGTTAAACCTAAGACGCATTCGTTATGGTTAAACCTAAGACGTATGCGTCTCTTATGCCTTCAAGATGCCACAAATCTCATTCAAAGATGAGTAAATTGTTATGAGGTATAATGAATTCAGCTTTGAGTGGATTGATCCCCTACTTAAATTCCTAATCCAATTAACAAAACTACTTTCTTTCAGAACACAAACGTCAACAAAGTAACCCATTGAACATTAAAATCAGGCCTAAATCGATGTATAAGCATTCAGCACCAAACAATACTCGAGAAAAAGAAACATAAAATCGAGGGTACCATTCAACGTTGAGTGCAGAAAAAGAGCAACAACCATAATTGATAGCGATTTTTGAAGTAAAACAAAAAAGGGATCGTCAGAACCCCCCAATAGGTACTCCAACTGTTTGTTGTTCTAAGATAGTCGAATAAAATAAATATCCAAAAAACAGCAAGATTCAGAAACAGATCCAACTCTAACCCCTCCTTTAAGCTTTTTGATCAAATGACCAAGTTACACAAACAAGTTGGGCCTCGATGCCTTGTATGTAGTCTTCAACTTCCTGGAAGGTGGCCTCACTTTCCTGAACACCAATGGGAACTTGATCTTGGAGTTATGAAATTGCTTGGTGCTTTCCCTCTTGCAAAGTTTAGCTGGGATGGTAGCAGTCTTGATGATCTGGATACAAGGAAACCTAACCCTGTGGCGAGAAGCCATCTCAATGTACATCTGCTCCACAGCTCCGTTGAGGGTTGTGTCACGGTACTCCTTGTACATGTTGTGATAACCTGTCCTGCTTTGATACCGCAACCAAATACCATAGTTCTTGATAGTAGTTGGGTTCTTCTCAAATATCTGCAAGCAATTTCAAACAAATTGTTTATCACCAAAACCCCAAAAAACAACAATCATCCAAATTCTAGCATATGAAACATCATGTCAAAAATGGAACACACTACAAAAGGTGGATAATTGAATAAATAAACCAATGGGCAGGCAAAATTGCCTTGCAAAGAGCCAGGGGCGGCCCTTCTCACATTCAAATGCTAGACCATACAAAATAACAAATGAATTGAAAAGGTAATACACCAAATAACAATCAAAACTTCTGTAACCCTAAATACATGTACAACTGCTGCACTAAACATAATGTAGACGCAGGCCGGACAATACCTAAATGAGCAAATTGCATTAACAACGACGAAAAATAGCGAAATATACTCTCAAGCTCCTTGAATAATAATGCCCAGACATATAATACATGAAATTGGATTTTACAAAAACAAAAGAAAGAAGATAAACACAGACATTATAACAACACAGCGAGCAAGTATATAACATACATAGTGAGCCCACATTTCACCACCGCAAAACAACATTTGCTATAGAAGAGACTGACAAATAATCAAAATGAGCACAAAATTTATTAATTACATTAAATACAGCATAAATAGCAAAGAGAACAAACCTCATTAATGGCAAGCACTTGGCCATTGCTCTTCTTGACCTTCTTCAGCTTCCTCAGGAAATACCTAATCCAAAAAAATCAACCAACAAAATTAAGTTTAACCCAAAATCCAATGACGAACATTTGGGATCACAAAAGCTGAGCTCAGGGTAAAGCTTATACCAGAACTTGGACTTGGCGCGAACCTCATTGGTGGCCCAGAGCTTCATTCGGTAAATCTTGGGGTGCTCATCAGATGCCGTAGGGAGCTTCCTCCCAACAACCTGGTACTGGTGGAACTGCAACACAAAAGCGACACCGTTAATTGCAGCTCAAAACCCTAACCTCAAAATCTTCATTTCTGAAAAAGAGGGGAGAGATCTGAGAATAACGTATGCAGGCTTACCTTGAAAGTACCCATGTCTGAGAATTAGAGAAGACGACTACGATCTCCGAGGCCTCTCTCTGTCTCTCTTTCTCTCGCGCTCTAATATGAGAAGCGCAGACTAGGGTTTTTGTTTCGTTTATATATGAGGAGGAAACCCTAGTTTATGAAAGAAGTGATTTTGGGCTTTCTTGAAGGCCTTAAAACTCGCGATCAAAGTTATTTAGGCTTCGTACGCGTAAGGGCCCGTTTTGTCTGTGAGTTTTGGTTTAGGCCACGTTGCAATATCCAGACAAAACAAGTTAAAATGTGCTTCATCCGGATCCAAAGTTCTACCTCCTCATAGTAATTTCTTGATTGAAAAAACAGTTCAGAATAATTTAAAATATCGCTTTGTCAGAAAGAAAAAAAATGATAAGTATAAACATAGAAAATTTTAGTTATAGATAAATTTCAACACTGAGAAGAGAAGTACATGTTCTGTGTAGGGCTAGGTATAATTATCGGCATTGTCTTTCCGAAGCCGGTTTGAAGGATGTTATATCCATAAGTCCATATTTTTCCCCCCTTTTTTTCATAAGGCCAATTTGGATTTATCAAAGCATGATTTAATGAATCTGATTACAGCAGATTATTACATACCAACATTACTTCCCTTTGTATCAATTTTACTTTCTAGCTACTTTAAGTATGTGTATATACTGTTACTAGGAATGCATTGCTTGCAAATTATGAGGAAAATAGAAAACCATATGAATAGATACATACACATAATATACTCTGTCAAATACATGTACAAACAAGAGAACCCAACATTGAGAATTGACAATAGGCTATAGCCATCTAACTGCCCCTTTGAATGAATGCAGGGTACAAGCACAGGTTCATTGTTCGCAAGTCCATATTTAACCTCACCAGGTGCGAGCTCCCTTCGTTGCGCCAAGAGTAACGGCAATCACAGCAAGAATTGACTGAAAATGCAAAACCATAATTCCATGAGAGCATATCCAAGCCAATGTATGAAACCTTACTTCTTAGCAACCAAAAACATAATTCTGCAGGCAGAGTTATCCAAGATTGCAGGTCTTGCTATGAGAACATACAAGTTGATGCATGAATTAATGTTGAATGAGTCAAGTTCTCTAAATCCTTTCAGGATATCCAAAAGGACAAGACCCTTTTAGCTTCAATCAGTATCATCAAATCAGAGTCTTTCACGGTTTCTATTTATCTAGTTTATTTAAAAGCATTCATGATGCCTATCAGTACAGAGCATAGAATTAATATAAACATCATGTTCTTATCCAACATTCCAACTTTCGATAATATGCCAAACTCAGAAAAGTCATGAAGCTTATCCAAGAGTTCCCACTATGTGAATAAAATATTAACAATAACTAGATATGTATAATGCAACTGTATCATTGGTTGAAAGTTCAAGGAACATTAAGTGATCACCATTTCGTGAACATAAAAATGTTCATATGTGGAAAATGAAACAACCAAAAGAAAAGCATTAGATATTATTCTGAGAAAACAAAAAGCATAGAAAATTACATGGAAGGAGCACTTACAGCTATTGTGCATGCTACATATCCAGGTTTTTCTCTGTAGTCCACCCGAACACAAAGTAAGATGAAAGTTCCAACATACCAGGGGATGCCTCCAAGAAAGAACCCAATTATAAACCTTCGGAAAAAGTCAAAGTGTAATCTGTCAGCAGCAGCCAGCCAGAAGAATGCTCATGGAATTATGTTTTCAAGTCGAGGATTGAAAATATAATAAAAGATCATCTACAAGGTTTTCTCTTGTTATGATCCTATGATGAATTTCAGAGCTAGCATAACTCAATAAATTTTAAATTTGTAACTTGTTCAAGAAATTATCATCCCATTATAAGCTGCTTGCCGTAAGCACATATTGCATCCAACTATGTAAACTACTTAGGCACCAGTGCCAAGCACCAAGCTTGCCTTAGCCAAAGCGGTACAGGTTGATGGTGTCTCGGAACTGACAACTGGAAAACTACTGATCCATAAGCAAAACTTCTAAAAAAATAGAATGCAATGGTATAATTGGCAGAAAATATAGCTAATCGAAATTCTCAAGGCTTGTTAGGAGAGGAAAGAATATCCTGTCTTATCAAAACACAAAATCAACAATTTCATAAAGGTATTATAGTTGGACTACTTCATGTTTATACGCCTGTACCTATACAATGAATCGGTGATTACCATAACTTGTACAGTACACATGATGTTCAGCCCAAAAAAACCAGCCTATTTCAGCTTCCTTTTGATCCCCTTAGCTCTCTCTTTTAATTCTTGACTAACCCTTTTCAAAATTACTATGTTTTGTACGAACTTTATGCATATCAGTATATGCAGCGGATCAAAGTTACTCAAGGTTTTCTTTACATGCCCACATGCATTATGCTACACCTACATGCTCAAGGTTTTCTTCTTAAGGTGTAGCTCAATGCCCTAAAACACAAAAACACACAAATAAATGAAGAAATAACAAAAGTAAAATAAAGATTGAATTCGATTGAATCAACTTACAATAACCAGCCGATGCCCATACCACAGCAAGGAAGGCGGCGTTCATGCACAGGTCTTCCCTCAACAACAGCATAACCTTCAAACCCCATGAACCCACATCAAAAAATAACAAAATTCAAGAATTTTAAGTGTGTGTATATATATATATAGATATAGATATATATATATATATATATATATATAATCATGACCATGGAAAAGAAACGCGTTATCGAAAGTTTACCAGTGACCGTTTGGTATCCACGATGGTGATGATGATGATGATGATGCTGGTGATGGGGAGGCAAGGGAGGGCGGCCAGTCGAACCGGGAGGAGGAACCGGCTGCGGGAAACCGACGACCGGCTCAGGCGGTGGGGGAGGAACCGTAGGGTAGTAGTTGGCAACGCCTTGGAAGGTGCCATAGTACTGCTGGCTCTGGTTCTGGCTCTGCTGGTCGCCCGCGAGTCCTCTGGTCTTAGAATCGTCGCTCATTTTCGATCCGATTTGAGTTTTGGGGGAGGAGGGAGGGTTTTCAATCAGCAACAGATTGTTGGGCAGTGGTTTCAATTTCGTGGATAGCTGGCTCAGCTGCCGGCTTTGGCAGCCTGGCAGTTTTGGGTATTTTTCATTTTGCTGGACTTTGGATTTCTGTTTTCCATTTTTGGGCTCATCAATTTTGGGCCATCCAACCCACAATCTGATAAAAATCATGTGGACCAGATAAGTCGCCATCTTGGTAAGGCTTGAACCTTAAGCAATCTCCACATGATTGTCATTTTCAATGGCCCAAGTGTAAATCAAGGAAGTAGACCTTTGATGGGGATAGATAGATGGATAACAACTTGACGTGAGTGCGAAAAATAAAAAATAAAAAATAAAGGCAAGTACTCCTAAGGTCCGTTTGATAATCATTTTAATTTTAGTTTTTTTGCTAAAGTATAGAGGAAAATGAGAGTAAAAATAGGAGCGAGTATGAGATTGAGAGAGGAGGATGAGAGGAAAGAGTAATAAAAGTGAAAACAAAACTTGAAAGTGAAAATAATTTGATTTTAGTTGTATTTAGTTTTTTTTTTTTTTTTTTTTCTCTCCTCTCATTTTCCCTCTCAGTCCCATCTCCACTCTCATTCTTACTTTCCATTCTCCTTTTATTTTCTCTATATTCTAGCAAAAAAAATAAAAACTAAAAACTAAAATTGAAATTTGTATCAAACGGGCCCTTTAATTTTAAGTTGTTAAATACTCATGAGTAGCATGCATGGGTTAAATCAGTTTGTCATAACGGCCTGTCTCTTTTACATTGAAGTTTAAATTATGGAGTTTCACTAAAACACCAAAAATGGGGGCTGAAATTATAAAAAAAACCCAACACCCAAAACCCATCATTATACACACTCAAAATCCATTGATAAACACACCCAAAAAATATACAATTGTTGATTTTGGGGTTAATTTTGGGTGTGTTTATATGTTTATAAATTTGTATTTAAATTATTACTCTCATATCATTGGTCAATTAGCCAGTTGTATTGTACTGATCGCCCGGCCACTCACATCATGCAACGAACTAACACCATTTATCCCGTACCGAAGAAAACTTCATCAGTGTGCAATTACCCTTTTCGCCTAATTAATGTACACAAATGTGGTTAAAATGACATCTATCATTCATTTATGGCAACCCAAAAGGAAAAAAAAACATGCAATTTACTTATGAGCAATCAACGATCCGCTTGTCGCTCATAGATATCTTGTAGGACTATAAAACATCATCATATCAATCAAATCAATGTATTGTCAAAATTGTGGATACAATTCCACGAGGATCCAAATTATTTGATCCAAATCTCTATCATGATGTGCTTTATTTTTGTTCTCGATATATTACTTCATTAAAATTTAATCTAAGTGATATAAATTAGACACATGGACTGTAAAATAAAATTCTAATTTAATTCTAATTAAAAATGATTAAAAAACCCTAACTTGACTAACACCTAAACTTAATGTCTCTTTAAGTTTTTTTTTTTCCTTCTTCCTTCTCTGCATGTCTGCATCGCTCATCAATCTTTTCTTTCTCCAATCTTAGAACACAAAAACATTCTTACCAAGAAGAGTATGAACTATATAACAAGAATCCTATGACACATCGAAATAAGAACCTCCAAGGGCATAGGAAATTAAATCATTAAGTTTACTCAAACAATAGAAAACCTAGAGTGAGAAAGCACATAAGTCATGTAAAGAAAATATAGAAGTAGCAAACTCTACGTTTTCAAAGAAAAAAATATAGAAGTAACATAATAATGAAATATGCAACATTTATCGTCAAGTTTAATATAACCAAACACGTTAATAGATGTAAATGTAAAATATAAATGAAATGCTAGAGAAAATTATTTTGATTTATAATATATTAAATATAATTCCATCAAATTACTTAAAATATTCATAACTTTCTTAATGACAATTACTAATGATCAAAATAAGCATGAAACTAACTAGATTGGATTGGATTCTCACAAGCAAATTCGTCATCCAATCTAATTATGTCGGTTTTGGAAATTAGGGATCCAATCCAATCCACCAAATCATCGAAACCGATTAAAATTGAATTGGATTGGATTGGATTTTGTACACCTAGGGAGGGGGGAGAGAGAGAGAGAGAGATAAAAACTGCATATAAAAAAACCTAACTGTTTTTGTTTTCAATAATTGGAGTGTTTTTGAGTTTTTTTTAATATGAATTTTTAAAAAGGGGCCTATCAAACGTATTTTTTGATCTTTGGACTTAAAATATATTTTTGAATTTGTAAAATTGAATCCAAGCCTTTAACTTTTTAAACATGCACCAAAAAAAAAAAATTATTTGAAAATAACATCGACATCGTGGACAACTTGAACACAAGCATAATCTTCTTGTCCGGGAGAAAAAAAAAGAGAAAAATACAAATTTTATTTATCATCACGTAGGTCATTGCAAATGATGTTGTGACAGCAGTGTTTAACTTTTGAAAATCAGATTAATCTAAATCCATGTTAGGGGCCGCTTAAACATCATCATTCATCACCCACGTTTTTATGTATTTAATTTCTCTTATAAAATCATTTTCAGTTTGTTCAGTCAAATATTGTAACAGCACCTCCAACTATATTAAACTACAACTTCACAAATCAATGCAGAATTTTTTATGTTAGCCGTCTAAGCATTAGCTAAAATGTGCTTTGCCTACTGGCTGATTAGCAGACTTTACCAGAATTTTTCATCCATCGTGGCATGCCTTGAAATCTGTCAAGGAGAAGAAGACTTCCTCTGCTAATCAGCCAGTAGGCAAAGCACACCCTAAACACTGGATCTAAACCAATCAAATCTTGTTGTTATGCTGCAAAAATCAATATGATAATATGTATCGATTATCATACGTACGGTCAAAGAATTTGATTGGTGAATTATAAGATGTGGTGCGGTTGGTAAACTGTCATCTTTAGTTGGTAAGCTACCTAATGCCTCAATAACAGGGGTTCGAAATTCATTGAAAGCATTATGTGAACATGATCAAGCCAAAACCCTAAGCAGAGATTAATTATACCCTTCAAGTGTGGGAATACCTCGTGATATTCACTTAAAAAAAAGGCTCTTATTGGTGCTAAAGTTGATTCATTGAAACCATGAAAAGCCTACTAGGTTAGCTTAGCTTGGGGTTTAGCTAGCTCAAGCTTGTAATAAGAGCTTAAACTACACATGGCATACATGCACAAATCTTTCACTGCTCTCCCTCTCTCCCATTACCCCCATACCTAAATCATAAAAGCGTTCACTTGTCGATGCAATAGGCAGCAGCTAGCCCATAGGCAGGGGGTAACTTTCAATTGCGATCTGCCCAGTCATAAGAAGTTTGACTTGACCTTATACCGTGACCGTGTCCAAAATAAACACGCATTATCATGTGTTTTAACTTTCTACAAAAATATAAACTACCCAACATGTTTACGGTGATGGTAAGTAGAATATGAAAACCACATTATTGAGTCAATTTAAATATTATAATATAGGTCGATGATATAGTATTAAAGTAAATACATTTTATTATGTCACGAATAAATTGAGAACAGATTTAATTAAAAGTCTTTGTCAAACTTGTCTTCCTGCACAACTTGCCAACTATCACACTTGCATCTGCATGGGCAGCCAAGCCAGCCAATCACAATTCATAACCAGAAAAACACCCATAAAATAACATTAAAAGGGATTATCTTCTTGATAAATTCCTCAAGTATCCCAACATTACTAGTGTGGCCCTCCGTCTCTTCTCATCTAAGATCTATACACCCCCCACAATCGACATCTCCAAAAAAAATTAAAATGAAAAATAAACCTAAAAACGAACAAATTAGAAAGCAACGACAACGAGAGGGTACTTTCGACTTTTCAATCAAGGTAATTACAGGGAAGGGAATCGTGTGCACCGCTGGGACAAGAAAACCTTGCAATCGTCTTTGGGGCAGATGGTGGGGACAAACTCGATGTCATCGCAGCCGTCCGTCCTGTGCCTCTTGAAATTGATCAACGTACAGAACATGGCGATGAAGAGGACGAGATGATTCAAAGCGTACCTCTGGCCCACACACTGGTGGGCCCCCGCCCCGAACGCCAAGTAATTCCTCTTGTAAATCCGGTCCTCCTGCCTCTCGTCGGAAAACCTGTCCGGGTCGAAGCGCTCCGGATCACTGAATCCCTGAAAGCAGGACTCGTAAGCCGAAGGGAACACAATGGTGCCCTTCGGGATCGTGTACGTCTCGGTCAACGGAAAGTCAACCGCGGCAATGTGCGGGACCATAGTCGCCGGAGCTCTGTACCTCACGACCTCACGCCCCACTGCGTGCGTGTACTTCATTCGCGATAGCTGCTCCGCCGTGATCAGACTGTCCGACTCCGGAGACCAAATTCCAGCTACCTCTTCCCGGACCTTCGCCAAAACCTCAGGGTGCGAGTCGAGCAGAGTCACCGCCCACAGTAACGAAGATGTGGAAGCGTCCTGAGCTGCGAAGAGGAAGTCGAAGAGGTGCGCCCCGATCTCGACTTCGCTGACGACTGCCGGTTCCGAACCGGCCTGAGCTGCATTTCGGAGCTCCTGAACCGTTTCGTGCATCCAGAAGTCGATGAGACAAGTAGGCTCGGAATTTGCAATCTCCATTCTGGCCTTGCTCCGTTCGGCGCAAACGGAGAGCGTTTCGACCAGGCGTCTCACGGCTAGCCTCGCGTTTCGAAACGCGGTGCCGGGAAGGTCGATAGGGAGCTTCATGAGGCCGACGTTGAAAAAATTGTAGTCGGATTTGAACCGCTCGCGGGCGGCGGGGCCCAGGTAAGGCCCGACGAAGACGGTCTGAGAAGTCTCGAGGTTCATGTCGCGGACGAGAAACCGGAGGGTGATCGGGTCGGGTAGGGCCTGTGAGGAGAGTCGAAGCCAGTTTTGCAAGTGGTGGAGGATGATGATCTGCTGCAAGGCGGTGTAGGTTGAGAGGGCCTTAGGGGTGAAGTTGGGGGCGATACGACGTCGTAGGTCCTTGTGTTCTTGGCCGGTCATGTAAATGAGGTTGTGGTCGCCGAAGAGCTTCTTGCCGAAGGGGTGGCCTACGAGGGCGAAGGCGTCGGGGCGGACGTTGGCGAATATTTTGTGGGAGAGATGGGTGTCGCGGATGAAGAGGATGAATTTTCCGATGACGTAGTTGGAGGAGAAGCCGAGTGGGGATGACTTGGCGAGAGCTGATTGGCGGTCCCAGAAGCGGGTCGGGTTGCGGACCAGTAAGATTGCGTTGCCGAGGAATGGGAGGACGACGGGTGGGCCCGGCGCGGTGCGTTTTTTGGTGAGGTAAGATATTTGTTCGAGGAGGAGGAGGAAGAGGAGAAGGGAGAGGAGGTAGGGGGTGAGCGGAAGGAGTGAAGTGATCATCATCTTGTTGAAGAGGGAGCTCATTTTCTTTGCTTGAGGGCTTTTCTGTGTATATTTATGTAGAAAGGAAGGGGAGTCTAAGAAGAAAAGGTTTGGGAACGAAGAGACAGCATTTTCTTCTTGATTCTGGGACTCTGACTCATTTCTGAGAGAGAGAGAGAGAGAGAGAGAGAGAGAGAGGCGTGTTGTTGTTACAGTTATTAAGCTTGGACGGCGGAGTAGGGGGAAAGTGGGGGCTGATGTCCAGCTGTAGCTGAGTAGCTGACGTGATCTCCAGTGGTAGGGCTAAATGTAGCTTAGAGTTATAAATAAAATTTCACGAGAAATGCTAACGGGCACTCCAGCAGTTGATGCAATAAAGGTTCAACCGTTACAACTCGCTTGTGAGCTAGTGATTCAGATATAACTCAATCTCAACCTATGAATATGATTGATAACAATAAAACAACAAATTATGCAAAAGTAAACAATCTGAATGATTTATTTGTTTAAGAAGGAAATTGTGAAAACTGAATAGGAAATGAATACTAGTTGAAAACGTAATTGGATGTATGATATGATTGGTGGTACACGACTTTGTTTCGTTTGTATAAAATAATGAGACACCCCCATGCAGTGACAGGAGAAGAAGACAACGCAAAAACAGAAAACAAAAATGCGTGGGAAATTTAAAAAGGCAACTGTCTTTTCCCATCTCCAAAGTCAAGTGCAAACCCAAGGTCCAAAGTGGTGTGTTACAAAGTTGAATCAAAACCAAACGAAAGATCATCAACCAAAACCGGATCAAGTAAGGATCTGTTATTATCAGGTACATTCAAGAAGGAAGCAGAGTTATTGTAAATTGTAATGGGAGTTTTCCAAAGAAATGATAATGTGCTGATCATTGGTCCTCCCATCACGACACAATGCTAATAGGCCAAATGTGTCTTTCCAGCTAGCTTTTAGAGTATTGTTTTGAGATGTGATCATGCATCAAAGAATGATGTCACATCAATTTTGCAGTAAATTGAATATCATACGTATTTTAGGTACTACTCTTTCAATAGTATATTCTTTCCCTCTATTATTATTGATGATGTTGGTGATGATGGCGATAAGAGTGAAGAAATTGTGTTTGTAATTTATGCGTATAGGTGTAGGTATATTAATTTACCTACCTAGAGGCATAGGTTGCTAAGAAAAATGTAGGTAAATTCATGTACCTAATTTCAAACCATAACAATTATTAAATTTGGAAATTGGTATAAATAAAAGGAAATAAATAAGCTATTGCGTTGAAATCCTTGGAATCTATACAAAATTGAAACACAATTAATCGGCATTGAATTGCAGCTAATTTCTTAACCAAATCACGTTAAAAATGTAATCAAGGGTATTATAGGAATTTAAAAAATATAACATTTAACACATAAAGCTTGATTAGGAAACTTGATAAGTTGGATCCTAGTTATCGGGTTTTATTTATAGAAAAATAAAATGATGGGTTGTAGGTAAGAAATTATTAATTTGAAGGGGAATAGTCAAATTTACTAGATTTAAAAATTATAGCCTTGATGAAGCAGGGAATTTGCATGTATAGCACAATGCAAAAATTCCTAAATATGATACACTTATGAATTTTAAATAGTACAGTCGAATGACTATACTGTTAAAATATACGAATATTTAAAAATTATATCCGCGCAATTATACTCTTCAAAATATTCAATATTTTAATAATATAACCGCGCGGCTATACTCTTTAAAAGTATTCTTTAAATATATTCAAATATTTAAATTGGTGTCAAGCTTTCTCTCTCTTGTCCCACAAGGACAAGATTTGTGTGTATAAGTCTGAATTAAACAAGAGAGCAAAATCGTAAGACGCTTATAGTTGTAGTAGTTAAAAGTAGTTACTCATGCATATTCCCCCATTCTCATTTTCGCTTGTGTCAAAAACAGAGAGCAAAAGAGACAATTGGAGAAATGGCACAAATCCAAGTCTCAACAATCACTTTTGATTGAATACCAAGCAAATGGCAATTTCCAAAGAGTAACTTAAACAAAACTTTATCGGCTAACATTTTAATGGGTAAATTGAAGAAATGATGCGAAATGTATTGTTTGGAAAAAAAGGTATGCATATTAACTAAATACCAAATTCAATTGATTGATTTCAAACATCAATTGAAGGTGATTTAGAAAGAACATTTTAGTGCAAAGATTGACCGAGCATCTACAAGTCAAGGAAATTGACACGAAAGACAAGTCCATAAACGTGCCATAAAATAGCTCATTGTAGACCACATTAACATAGTACGGATAACAAACAAAAACTTCAAGAGTCTCATCAACTCTTTCTAAATTAATTGAAAATATAAATCTTTTGCAAACACAGTCAAAAGCTAGTCTCAAAACTGAAAGTAACAGCTCCTAGTTTCAGAGACCCATAATCCAGCAACCACCATGACATACAGGTCTGACCAGATAAGAAGTGCAGGCTTTACAGCCTCCTTCCTCTTCGGCCACCCTTTCTACGGGTGCTATCAGTAGGAATTGGAGTCACATCCTCTGAAATAAGAAATTAAAAACAGAAAAGTCAGCATTCCAAATCCATAAATAACACAAGAACATGTCTAATAGCGGCAAAAAAAAAAATTGTTACGGAAGAAATGTATACAAAAAATGTTGTAGAATTATAATAAAATCATCTTCAAACATCGGCTAGAATAAACAGTCAAAAACTCGCTTCTGCATTTTTTTTTTTGGATGTTTAGGTGTGAAATATTGACAACCAGACTTCGGAATTACCCTACATACACTAAACAAAGCTCTAATTATAAAGATCATGCCACTAAGAATTTGTATGACAGAAATACTATACATTGGTAATACTTTCAGGGATGCATGCATGATATGGTAAACATACTATAAGAATATGTTCAGTAGATACAAGATTTGCAAACTTACGTAATATGATAAGTTTTTCAAGAAAAAAAATGTATACCTATACGACCAATTCTCATTCCAGAACGAGCAAGGGCACGGAGGGCAGACTGGGCACCTGGACCAGGTGTTTTGGTTTTGTTACCACCAGTAGCACGGAGCTTGATATGAAGAGCGGTAATACCTAATTCCTGCTTTATCAAAAGTTACACTTATGAAGCAACAGCAGAAGGAAATCAAAATAATAATACTGCACTGCAGCTTGTAATAATGCACACAACATCCAAGTTCCAAGAAAATGGCCCAAATTAATTGCTTTATAAGAAATGTTTGGTTATTTATTTCAACAAAAGAAAAAAAGAAATCAAACGCAAAGAACATGCATACAAACTATATATTGAAATTAGACCAAGACCTTGCATCTCTGTGCAACATCCTGTGCTGCAAGCATAGCTGCATATGGTGAAGACTCATCTCTGTCAGCTTTCACCTTCATACCACCTGCATGAAAAGAAGGGAGATATTATGAAATCAAACATAACACTTAACATCTAAACATAGTGGATCACCTAGAACATAAGACTGAATTTTGTTTTCTCCACACTATAGAATCCAGTTCATAGATGTCACATCCAGCAACCAACAGAATGACTGAGAACACTACTTACAAATAACGAACTAAAGAATTCAAAATTCGTCATGCTCCAATTAGGTATACTACGACCTTATGTGTATAATAATTTATTTGCAATAAAACTTATAAAACTACCAAAAACTTCCCAACAAGAGCCTATGGTGTCCAAAAAAGAAAAGCAAATGTAGCAAATCTTAATTCTAGAAAACCAAAATTCCTTACCAGTGATGCGCACCAAGGTTTCTCTTCCTGACAGATCTGTCACATGCTGAAAATCAAACAAGAAACCAACATTACAAATAAAAGTAAAAGCGGAATAAATTATACACATCATACCTAGCGAAAGATAAGTTCACTTACAATGAATGTATCATTAAATGACGCAAAAATGTGTGCCACACCAAAGGCATATTCTCCATCCTTGAGGGTAGGACCAAGAGTAACGTTTTCTTCCTTTGGTTCCCTAACCTTCCTCCTTGACTGTAGCAATCATAAATTCAAAAAAAAAAGTCAAAATCAGGAAGAACTAGCTCTACCATTGATTAAAAAAACAAAAACAAAAACTTGAACCATCCACTACCAATAACAACATTTTTCGAAACTGAAACAAGAACACTCTAGCAGCAGAAACAACTCAAACAAGTTTAATTTCCCAAAAACTATTCCTATTATCCGACCAAAAAATCAATTCCTACTACTGAAAAACGAATTCTGCACAGCTAGCTGTTTCATGAACTTAATCAAAATATGAATTCTTCATACTTCTCAAGTGCTACAGGTGAAACAAAACCAAGTGCTTTTTCACACAAAAATGTCATAACTTGAAAAAAATCATGCTAAATCCACTAACATGAAATAATCATACTAAATTCTCTGCATCATAACAAACGCTTAGAAATTGACACAAAGCTAAGTAAGCACACATATTGACTCTAACTCAAGTAAAATACCACATTACGGTAATAAAACAAATTTGGATAATTTATTCACCAATTGGGTATATGACCCTCAGACTGTGACTAATCTGAATTTGGCACAGGAGCTTTCTTTCCGATAAGAGCAGTAACCAGATAATCATATTTTTAAGAACGAAAATAAAAACGAAATGCAATTTTCCATTTGCAAAGTTTGCGAAAAGGTGATGCATTTCGAAGGCAAGTTAAATCTCAATTTCCACACAAAATGATACCAAAATATACAAGGTTTCTGGATCTGAAACCCTAGCAGCTAAACGATGGAAGTCTGGGGTCTTACACACACCACAAAGGCTCACAAAATGAATTGGGTACACACAGACAGATCAATCTGAGACATACTACATGAAAGAGCATAGGTTGGATTTCAGATTTGCTTACCATGGCTGCGAAGTGATGAGATTGGGTGCTAGGTTTTCGAGGAGGCTCTTGGTGCGCTTTTGTCAGCTATAAAAACCCTAAGCAGAGGACTGAGGCGTTTGTGCCTGCTTCGCTTTTATATCAGAGAACAATTTTTAGGGTTTTGTGTGATGGCGTAAAGACTTGGGAATTTACAGTAATGGCCCTTTGATTTATGCTATATTGTAATACTTCACCTTTTGTTTTGGATATTCCAGTTTTCCTCCTAGTAGGCTGCCCCACTGGCGCCCGTATAATTTCACTTATATTTAATTTTTTTCCCGAAGGATAATATTATGCATGACAACTAATTATTTCTTCTTAATCCAGATTCCAGTGGTGCTTGCAAAACAATACGTGAAACTACTATACACTAATAGACAGTACAAAATTTTTAGTGTTAAGGTTTGAAAAGGCAAATAAAAAAGTGTAAAAGTTCTTTAAAAAAATTCCGAAGTGTAAAATAGATGTTTAGTGACCTCGGATGCAAGAATAATTGCTTTTAATCACATATGATAATAGGCTATATCGAAGAAAATTGGCATGCAAATCATTCGAATGGTCTTTCACATTTGAACTTGAAGATATAATTTTCGAAAAATTGATTGTATAAAAGGTTTGAAAAAAAAATTAGGAATTGTCAAATATACTTGTGATCAACGTATCGAACAACAACTGGTATTCAGTCTTCTAAGCAAAAAACTGGCATACAGGGTTTGACTTGTAAATATACTCTATTTTCCGAGCAAGCTGTTGAATTACAAATAAATAAACCTTACATCATATAAGATATACTTTTAGTGATCCTAACTACAAAGAATGGTAACAAGGAAGAGTCCATCGTCCATCATCCAAATGCTATGCAGAAATCAGACCCAGATAGCCAGCGCATAACGCCAATGTGGATGAAATAACGTATGCACCACCAACAATGACGGGTTCTTTCAACCCACATAGTTCAAGGTGATGATGAAACGGCGCCATTCGAAAGAGACGACGACCAGCTCCGTGCATGCGCTTGGTTGTCTTGAAGTACAGTACCTATAAGTACACCAGTATATCAGTCCAGAGATAAGCTGCACTGCACCTTAAAACAATCTATGAATGTGAAAGGTTATAGTTGAATGTGATCGGTAACAAACCTGCAGAATAACTGATAAGGCTTCCACGATGAAGATGCCAGATGAAACAAATAATGGAAAGAACATCCCTGTGCAACAAGCCATTGCAGCTAACCCTCCGCCTAGTGCCAAAGATCCTGTATCACCCATGAATACGGATGCCTTGTATCGATTGTGCAAAAGAAAACCAACGCAAGCTCCTGCCATTGATGCTCCAAATATAGCAAGGTCTGTTTCATATGGCATGCAATACTTAGCACTCTAGAATTATACAGAAAACAGAATTCCATTGCTTAATCATTGACAAGTTTACAATGTTGAGTTAATAGGATTGTGCTAGTGATGATGCAACCAAATTGCAAAAGATAATCTTCTATTTAACACATAACATATACAATTGCAGTAGCAATGATTGAGAATGCAAACCATTGCGCTCTCACTCTGAATAATAATCTACAAAACATTGAGGACTTATCTCCACTAAACGAAAAGCAAGTTTACAAGTAAATTAGCTGCCAAACTGTTGAGCAAATTGGCGACTTCATGTGCTGATTTAGAGGATAGAAATAAAAAATCAATCCACAAAGTGATTTTATATCAAAGTCGGCCACGTTATAATCCTGTTCTGCATGCCATTTAGATATTTTTCATCGATTAAAAAACACCATTATCCTATCACATGCAACATATAAACTGCATTGCAAACAAATTAAAAATATCATAATGACTACTACACTGACCAGAACATACTGGAAGCACTGCGATCGACATTCCTACAAAAGCCAACGCAGCAGTCCCTCCAGCCAGCCCATCAAGACCATCTGTTAAGTTAACCCCATTTCCCATAGAAACAAAACAGAATGAGGCCAACGCCAGATAACATTTACCCAGGCACACAAGGCCCAGTGCAGGTAGAGGAACCAACATTTTCCTGCATTAAGAAACAGAAGATCAACTTGAGCAAAAGTACCATGTCTAAAGCATTTGTCAAAATGTTTTGTCTTTTCTCAATCAATGGCAGTGCTATATAAAGAAATATTGATTTTATTTATAAATATACCCAGTAGTACGAGATTCCCAAAATAATTGCACATTCTCCATTAGGCTTTTTATCTTATGACCATGTGTATTGTATTTTACATCTATGAAACTTTCTAATAAATACTAGGATGTTATGATCTCACACAGTGTTTAGGTTAACATAATAGTTATTAAATCTTGCTTCTAGTTCAGTATCTTATATTGTGCCCAAACACATGCTACAGTTATAAAAGTTTCATCACTTGTAAAACGAATTATCTTATGTATTTAAAAAATAAACACAATATCTCACACTTGAAAATTCTGCTATGCACATCCTGTTGCAGATTGTTTCTCACTTAAATCTCATGATTTTTAGGCCAATCCATGTATTTAATTTGGCATAACAGCAACTATAATTCACATACTACGCCCTATTTTGTCAGACTGATAATTAGCGCCAAACACAAGTTGATATTTTCTTGTAAACTCATCATCATAAGAATAGAAATGTGAGTTACCATCAGAAAAATAGTTAGAAGAAGATATACATGCCATAGGGTGATGATATTTTTGTTGTATGCAACCAATATGAAAACCAGATTCCAACAGCTACCTGTAAAATTAGCATAACTTAAATATTGCTCAAAAGTTTGATAGAACTTAGAATCAATTCTATTTTTTTAAAACAGCAATACACAAAAAGTTTGAGAAAGAAAAACTTGATGAAAAATTTACCTCCATAATAATTTTTGTCCATGCAGATAAACCAGTGTTATGGTTCTTGATGAGGCTTAATGTATCATCAAGTAGCCCAATTGCAGCAAATGCAAGAGTTGCTAGAGCTACTCCAGAAACTTCGACAGAAGAAAAACCAGCAATGAATTTTGCAACAATTACACCAACTGGTACAAAAAATAGTCCACCCATCGTGGGAGTTCTTTTCTTGAAGGAGTGCCTTACAGGCCCTTCTATCCTGATAATTTGACGAATCTTCAAGACATAGAGAAATGGTACACAAACATATCCCGCACATGCAGCTAAAGCGGCTGATATGAAAAAGGGGCAGGTCAAGTGAAACGCTGACAAAGGTAGTCTAACAATCCGCCATGCACACCAATCCACATATAGAAGCACCACCACTAAGAAAATTATCAGTCCAGTGTTGAGTAATACTCCATTCCTGATCCTGCAAATGTAGAGTGTAAACAACCATCAAACTAAGAAGGCTGCAGACACCTCACTAATCTAACAACCTGAGTAGATTCCCATACAGTAAAAGATTTATGACTTCTCATTGTACCCTAAAAAAAAAAGGAGAGGACATTCCCTAGGATTCATTATTTTATTAGCTAGGCTCCATTGACTTTAGACTTTTAATTTTTAAATAAGCACAATCACAAAATCAAACACTGACACATCAACTACAATTACATCATTGACTTTTGCTCAAACAACTTTAAAATACCATAGCTTTATCCAGTATGCTTGCTTTTCATTAGAATTCTATTTCTTGAAATCCGCATCCAATGAGCAATAATCAGAACCACAATAAAGCAAAACGACCAATTCCTAAGGTTGACCTACTTGCCTGTGCTTCTTACGCTGTTTCCCAAGCAATGCAAACCGATGAGCAGTCACAGTTAGAGACTCATTAGTTGATACAGTGATGGCAGGCAAATCAATATCGGCGACGGGAGTTACAACGAACTCTGCATCACTATCTTCACCACCGCTGGAATAAATCATGTACCCTGTAGACTCTTCATGGTTTCCCCAATCATCAAGTGGTGTTACATCAGCTGCATCCTATAGATCGATTTAATCTTTAAGTACAAATTAATGGTGTCACCCCAATCACAATAATGGTTTGCATTTTTTGTATTGGAGAAACCAACGTAGGTTTCTGTTAAAATTGAGAATTCATTGAAAACCTTCCAAAAAGAAAGAAACTTGATAGTTTATTCTAAAAGTAAACAGAATAAGTCACCCAATATGAACAAACAAGAAAAAGAAGTCATCATTGTCAGTTAGCATATGGGCCATGAATTATAAGCTCACCGCATCAAAGGCCCCGAAATCAACATCACTATAACGATAGCGGCGCCCATGCCTTCGGAAACTTGGTCCAATCAACTGCAATACAAATTTATTAAATGAGCACCAGTTAATAAAATTTCCACAGTGGAAAATCCTCAAAGTTGACTTTCTCAGCAACCAAACGGAAATTAAATTCCGAATTGAACCGAAGAAATCAAAAAAGAAATGAATCGGCGATGCCAAAAAATTAACAGACCTTAAGATCGTAACTCTGGAGCGAGAAGGCCGAAACGGATCCAAGACGAGGGACCGTACAGAGTGAGCAGTTGTTGTGCGAGCGAGAGAGTTGGAGAGGAGAGAGATGGCGGAAAGTCAGAGAATAAGAAGATGTCATGGCTCTGAAGAAGAAGAAGAAGAAGACGACGATGAAGAAGAAGCTGGTGAGAATGAGAATGGGAGGAGGAGAGATGGTTCAGATCTTGAAGAGGTTGGTAAGGCCATTAAAAACTGGAGAGTCAGGGATATTCGAGTTTTCAGGCATTTTATACCAAAAGAAAAGAAACTATTTGTAGCTTTAGGCCGGAGGGAAAGCAAAAGTGAAAATACACACTTTGAAATTCTCGCAACGTTTTTTCTGTTTTTAATCAGACTGTTTTGACGCGCCAAATCGAGCGTGGGAACTGGGACGGCGTATCAGATATGGGCCAGGTGGCACCTGAGAGAGAATTTGTGAATGTCTCTTTCTAGTTGATTTAATTTTTTTTATACTGCCGATCATTTAAATTACTCTAATACTGGATGAGGTGAATTCAAACTTGGGTCCAAGGAAACGAACTTGAGTGTTTTTTTTTCTGCTAAAGCGAGGAAGACGGAAGAGGTTTTGTCACAAATACCATCAAGTGTCATAAGGACTAAAATTAGGAAAATGAAAGAGGTTTTATCGCAAATACTACCAAAATGTCATAAGGACTCAAACCTGTTGTCCAACTTGAGTTAATTTATTTTGTCGTGAAGAAAAGAAATTCAATTATTGTAGGTGTAATTTCCTTTCCATTTGGCCAGTTGTCAATCCATGCGTCATGGTGTTAGTTTCAGTCTCACCCAATTTACCAGTGGATTAGGTAAACGTTTGATTCGAACATATGATGTCATAGATTCTCTCACTAGGAGACATTCACCCAATCTTTGATTTGTTTTGCATGTTTGGAATGGCTCCAAAATGAAAAGTGTGGAACACGACAATGATGGTTTTGCATTTACCCACCTTAACACTTGCTTCATTCACAAACCCAACTAAAATTCAACAGAAATTCGTGTACCGATTGATGAAATATTCACATACCCCGCCAGCACCAGTAGCACACATACCACACATACATCAGAAAATGTTGTCAAACACAAAATCGCTCAAAGATCCGGTAATCGAATCACTTGCTAACTCTCATTGGAGTTGGCGCTCAGAGTCCGACCACGCCCCATTGTGAATCCCCTGGTTCCATCAGGCATTCTCGGGCCAGGTGGTGGCTTTGAAGGTTCAATCGCATGAATAGCCGAACTGGTTCCTTGACCTAGGGAGGAACAAAATATCAACCGTTTAAGTTAGATTAGCCCAAGGAAAGGAACCAATTCAAAAAAGTAGCTCAGCAACATACCAAAACCATTGGTGACACGGTATTTTTGCCTTCCTGATTGGCCCCGACCTCTATGCCCAGTTTTCTCCTTGGGGACTCTCTCACCATCCTAGAATGGTAAAAGCAAAACGAACTTTAGAACTGAAAACCACATGTTCATAATTCAATCAAGAACTCCAGTAGTTTGAAAAATATAGAATAAAATCAAGGACTCCAGTAGAAAGTAAACATGAACAACGGCTCATGAGAGAATTCAACACCACTTTACCTCATCGTCAGGTGTCCGAGCATCATTATGATGCTCACTTGCATTATGATTCTCCTCACCTCCTCTTTGATCAGAAGTTTTGTTACTACTACTCTTCTCAGAGTCAAAACCCCTCCAGGCTTGTTTTCTCTGTCCATACTTTTCCTTATGCAAAAAAAACAATCATTAATTCCTCTTCTTGCCCTGAACGAAATGTTAAAAATTAGGGGTTCTTAGATCTAGGTCCAAAACGATTAGTTGTCATTGGGTTTAGTCTACGCGTTTTTGGTTTTAGATGTAAGTCATTTGACTTTTATTACTATTTTTATTATGTCGATTTTACCCTTTGAGGTACATAAGGAAAACATTGAAAATCTAAATTTAATGAATTATTTACTTGTAATTAAATTTTAGAATTTAAATTTGGAATTCTTTCATTGATAATATTTACCTAATATATGGGTAAAATATAAATTAATCAATTGAAGTAAAGGCCCACATATTATACTAATCAATCAGGCAAGCACCCACATTAAATTATGTACCTAACATACAGGTAAATAGTGTTCTTATTAGCAACGAAAAAAACTTAGTGATAAATCGTGTTACCTATAAGTCATGAACATAAATTAGAATACTACCTATAAGTTAGGAACATAAATTAGAAGACTACCTATAAGTTAGATACAAAAATAGACAAATAAAATTGTATGTTACCTATAAAAAATGTACATAAAATACTATTATTCATTGTCTAAAATATGAAAAAACAAATATATACATATGCAATAGGCAATATGACAATATACTACACCATAAGATAATTTATCTACAAGAGTATATACTATACCTCTACCATAAGGTGAACAAAAATAAAAATAATGGCATATAAATTCTCATCTAACTCATTTTAGACCAATAGGGGATATAATAGGAACAAAAAAATTTAAATACAAATCAGTTAAATACAAAAGTTTGAATCAACATGTCAAAGATGAAATGTAATTTACATGGCAAACTAGTCAAGGGACTTGTATCAATAAACAATAATTCGAAGACTATACCCAATTATTTGTTGGATTTTTGGACCTCTATCAACTTTTATATATATATATATATATATATATATCTATCTATCTATATAAACGAAATTCCGCATAATACCTTTGCATCCCTGTTTTCAGGTAAAGGAAGAGGATGAAGCCGTTTCAGCTTCTTCCCATTCGAACTCACAACCTACAATAAGGCAAATTAATGCTTATATGTTAGCATGTTCATCATCCCACAGGCACTTACATTGTTACAAGAGAACAAAAGAAGAAATATTACAAGGAGGGAAGACTCCCTCAATGCAGCCGCTATTAGTGAATTGTTTCGAATGAGCTTTTTCATTTTTCTAAAATAAGCAATAACTGAAATAGGAACTGCAAGAAGATATGTCCAAAAGTTAGCGCATTGTTACAAAACAAAATAAATATTACTACATAGAGGAAAGGAGCCTCGCGTTTCGAAACCCGGTGCCGGGAAGGTCGATAGGGAGCTTCATGAGGCCGACGTTGAAAAAATTGTACTCGGATTTGAACCGCTTGCGGGCGGCGAGGCCCAGGTAGGGCCCAACGAAGACGGTCTGAGAAGTCTTGAGGTTCATGTCGCGGATTGAAGAAAAAGGAAAGAGCATCAAATATATCTGTTTTCTGAACTGAAGAAAAAAGAAACTGCATTGCATTTTTTCCTGTCTAGTTTGTAGTTCTTGTTAATATTTTATTCACATAGTGGGAACTCTTGGATAAGCTTCATGACTTTTCTGAGTTTGGCATATTATCGAAAGTTGGAATGTTGGATAAGAACATGATGTTTATATTAATTCTATGCTCTGTACTGATAGGCATCATGAATGCTTTTAAATAAACTAGATAAATAGAAACCGTGAAAGACTCTGATTTGATGATACTGATTGAAGCTAAAAGGGTCTTGTCCTTTTGGATATCCTGAAAGGATTTAGAGAACTTGACTCATTCAACATTAATTCATGCATCAACTTGTATGTTCTCATAGCAAGACCTGCAATCTTGGATAACTCTGCCTGCAGAATTATGTTTTTGGTTGCTAAGAAGTAAGGTTTCATACATTGGCTTGGCTGTGCTCTCATGGAATTATGGTTTTGCATTTTCAGTCAGTTCTTGCTGTGATTGCTGTTACTCTTGGCGCAACGAAGGGAGCTCGCACCTGGTGAGGTTAAATATGGACTTGCGAACAATGAACCTGTGCTTGTACCCTGCATTCATTCAAAGGGGCAGTTAGATGGCTATAGCCTATTGTCAATTCTCAATGTTGGGTTCTCTTGTTTGTACATGTATTTGACAGAGTATATTATGTGTATGTATCTATTCATATGGTTTTCTATTTTCCTCATAATTTGCAAGCAATGCATTCCTAGTAACAGTATATACACATACTTAAAGTAGCTAGAAAGTAAAATTGATACAAAGGGAAGTAATGTTGGTATGTAATAATCTGCTGTAATCAGATTCATTAAATCATGCTTTGATAAATCCAAATTGGCCTTATGAAAAAAAGGGGGGAAAAATATGGACTTATGGATATAACATCCTTCAAACCGGCTTCGGAAAGACAATGCCGATAATTATACCTAGCCGTTCACATAACATGTACTTCTCTTCTCAGTGTTGAAATATATCCATAACTAAAATTTTCTATGTTTATACTTATCATTTTTTTTCTTCTGACAAAGCGATATTTTAAATTATTCTGAACTGTTTTTTCAATCAAGAAATTACTATGAGGAGGTAGAACATTGGATCCAGATTAAGCACATTTTAACTTGTGTTGTCTGGATATTGCAACGTGGCCTAAACCAAAACTCACAGACAAAACGGGCCTTACGTGTACGAAGCCTAAATAACTTTGATCGCGAGTTTTAAGGCCTTCAAGAAAGCCCCCCAAAATCACTTCTTTCATAAACTAGGGTTTCCTCCTCATGTATAAACGAAACAAAAACCCTAGTCTGCGCTTCTCATATTAGAGCGCGAGAGAAAGAGAGACAGAGAGAGGCCTCGGAGATCGTAGTCATCTTCTCTAATTCTCAGACATGGGTACTTTCAAGGTAAGCCAGCGTTCGTTATTCTCAGATCTCTCCCCTCTTTTTCAGAAATGAAGATTTTGAGGTTAGGGTTTTGAGCTGCAATTAACGGTGTCGCTTTTGTGTTGCAGTTCCACCAGTACCAGGTTGTTGGGAGGAAGCTCCCTACGGCATCTGATGAGCACCCCAAGATTTACCGAATGAAGCTCTGGGCCAACAATGAGGTTCGCGCGAAGTCCAACAAAGATTGTGTCTTAGCAGCACATTAGAATGGAACATGCGGACATTTCGCTTTTGAATATTATCTCACGAGAAAGGTAGCAGTAGAGAAGAATTGTTAGAACTTCTGAAACAGGCTTTACTATATGCAGCAATTGTTGATTCAATGAGTGGTGGTCTTAATCGCGTGACTGAAGTGAGACCATTTGGCTGTATTAAGATTTATTCCCACTAGGTTTTAGAAGTGTTTTATGATCATTACGATGCTATAGCTAAATGTCTTTCACATACGTTGGTCTCTCTCTGGTACAATTGTGACCATGAATACACTCATGAGCATTATGAGAAAGTAAATGGAGTATTGTTCGGCTTTCTTGGAGATTATCATAAAAGTGTTGTCCTAGGGATAAATAGGAAATTAGTTTTGTGACTCTTGCATTTTTCTTGCCTAGCTCATGTAAAATATGAACAACTAAAAGAGTTGAATGCATATTGGGTTCGAGATTATGAAATGAATTTAAGACCGAAACCGTGACACACTTATGACCGCACTGTGCCTCTTGAAGTTCGAGAGCTACCATGGATTCTAATGAGTGAGTTTGATTCTCCTATTGTATTTGGTGAATCAACACGTAATTTGGTGAAATTATTACGAGACCTATAGCACATGATTTGTAGATTGTTACACTACGTATTATTAGTGGTGACTTCTGCTTTATTTGCATGTATGCAACTTATTCCACATTATCTCTAAACGAGTCAAACTTACATAACTTAACGAGTTCATGAATTATCCTTCTTATTAGTGTTTAATCTTTGAACATCCTACTTTACTATAATTTCACAAGATTATGGATCCAGGACTTATTTTATCTACTATTATGTAACTTGGAGGGAGCACAAATTATCTGAATCCAATCAAATAATTTATTGTCTCTTCACTTAGCCTTTGGTAATGCCACATATATTGCTTGTAAGTTTAGGAAAATTCCCTTGAAAAGGCCAGCCAGTTTGTTAATGAATCGGGATAAGATATCAGGAACCGAAAATCATGATGTATATTATAGAGAAAAAGGGAGAGTAAGCTTATAGCTTGTACCAGCCAAAAGCGACCAAGCTGTGGAGTGGCACATAGTGGTGATTTATCCAACCCAGAGCAGGCCAGAACTGCATTTTCATCCGTCAAGGTTTAAAATGTGTTATGTTTCCTGATGTTGTCTTAGTATTTAAAAATAAATAAATCACAATGGAGAGAGTTATACCGTCCACGATGTGTAGTGCACTGACAGCTAGTCCTTAATTCTATTCTTCACATGCATCCAAGGTCTTCCTGCGTTTCACACAATAAGCAGCAAAGTCCACATGCTAACATGCCTCTTGTAGGCTGACTATCTTTGAAACTTTCAGAGTTGTTTGACTAATAATATTACAATCTGATATACAAGTCATACAACGCTTAGATCTTAATCACATATCAGGGCTGATAGGAACTACTGTATTTCTCACATGTCAAACATAAACAACTGATGATCACAAGTTTTGACATATTATATAATTACTCCACAACCAAGCCATAATAATTTGATTAGGAATTTTAGAACGACCAATGAGTTCTTTATCAGCACAACCCTCTTGGTTTAAGAAGAGGAAGAGATCTGAAGTTATGGCACTTAAATAATGATGGCTGTAATTAATACGAAGTGTAGATGGATTTCTCAACCAAAAACCAGAGCGTGATAGCAAGTAGAGTAGCCTTGCCTT